GTGTGTGTGTTTGTGAGATTTGAGAACAGACCGCCATCAGTCTCACATTCATGATGAATTTGTCCGGGGGAAGGAAGGAAGATTGAAAAAAAAAAAGCACAGAATGAAGAAGGAAATTGCGGAGTGGGCAGAAACACTGCTGCTCAGTTTCCTGTAGAGGAAGTGTGTGTGTGTGTGTGTGTGTGTGTGTGTGTGTGTGTCTGTGTGAGATGAGCTTCTGTCTCTGTTANCCCTTCNGAATTCTCTCTCTCTCTCTCTCACTCGCACACACTCACACGCACACACACATACAAACACACACACACACACACACACACACACGCTCGTTCAAGTGCTGGCATTTATCATTTACAGTCTCTCCTGCGCTGATTGAGTGATGACCTCATCAGGACATTAGCATACTGATGTCTGATTGGTCTGTTTTTGCAGCTCTCTAACTGGATTGACCAGAATATGCAAATCTCCTGTAATCCTCATGAATATTAATCAGCTGTAAACAAATGCTGCGTTCCACAGATCCTTCATGTCCCGACACCAACAGATCGTTATATCTGAATTCTTTTCACAAATCTAAGTGGATTGAACACAAAACGATCAAGTTGTTGCCAAAAAAAAAAAGTCTTAAGAATTGTGTTGATTCAGCTCGTTTAAAATAGTTTGAGGTGTTGGAGTGTATCTCATCAATGAATATGCATTAAATGCCATGTGAGAAGGAGTGAGGTGTGTGTGTGTGTGTGTGTGTGTGTGTGTGTGTGTGTGTGCACAGTTCCTCAGGTGATGTGAGTGAGATGGAAAGCGTGTTCAGACATGAGCAGTCAGCAGTGAATCAGCTCACAACACTAAAATAAGCCTTTTTATTATTATTATTATTATTATTATTAAGTGATTATGATAATTTCCTCCGGGTGCTCCGGTTTCCTCCACAGTCCAAACACATGCGCTATAGGGGAACTGAATAAGCTAAATTGTCTGTAGTGAGTGAGTGAGTGAGTAAGGGTGTTTCCCAGTACTGGGTTGCAGCTGGAAGGGCATCTGCTGTGTAAAACATGTGCTGGAATAGTTGGTGGTTCATTCCGCTGTGGTGACCTGATGAATAAAGGGACTAAGCTGAAGGAGAATGAGTGAATGATTGTAATTCTGGATCTGGTCTTAGTTTTCATCATTTGATGATGCACAATCGAGATGTGAAGCTAACATTAATTAAAGGAGCGCTGTGCTGTCCTGGTTTGACTCTAATAAACACTAATAGTGCATTAGCGGTTTGTACACATTCAGGACGTGCACACAGGGAGGTGGCAGAAAAAATAACTGTAAAGAAATGCGGTACAGAGTTTATGTTGTGTTGGAGATGAGCTACATTGATCATTCATTCATCTTCTTTTCGGCTTAGTCCCTTTATTAATCCAGGGTCACCACAGCGGAATGAACCGCCAACTTATCCAGCACATTTTTACGCAGCGGATGTCCTTCCAGCTGCAACCCATCACTGGGAAACACCCATGCACACTCATACACTATTTACCTTACACAATTCACCTGTGTTTGGACTGTGGGGGAAACCGGAGCACCCGGAGGAAACCCACGCCAACACAGGGAGAACATGCAAACTCCACACAGAAACACCAACTGACCTAGCCGAGGCTCAAACCTTTTTGCTGTGAGGTGACAGTGCTACCTACTGCGCCACTGCGTTGCCGTACATTGATTCTATATCATATATATCATCTACTGAATGCGTTCAGCGTATTATAACAGCTCGTCACCCAGTGATAAGCACAGCTACTCGGCAGAATGAACATTAAAGTGAGCGGCGTTCATCTGACAGAGAGCTGGGTCACATGTGCTCACACACTCCTCTCATGCAGTGTGTGTGTGTGAGTCAGTCAGTGTGGGTTTACTCAAGCACACACACACACACACACTCTTTCAGTGGGGAAATTTCCTGCGCCTGGAAGCCTCGCTCATCCTGAGGAATTTCCTGTGTGGGCAGACGGCACTTCCTGCTCTCTGAAAGGGAAACTGTTCTCACATGCCAACGGCTTCAGCCTTCACTTCCTGTTCACACACACACACAAACACAAACACATGCATACACAAACACATGCATACACAAACAGACACCAAAAATTTTAATTTCTGCTGCAGCCAGGAGTCTGGAAGTGTGTGTGTGTGTGTGTTTGTGTATGTGTCTGTATGTGTGTACTCTGCTGTTTGTGTGTATGTGTGTGCGTGTTTGTGCATGTGTGTTTATGTGTGTGCTGATGTCTGTGTTTTGTGTGTGTGTGGTGTATGAAAGATATTGTGTGTGTGTATGGGAGATGCTGTGTGTGTGTGTCTTAGTATGCAAGATGCAAGGTGTGTGTTGTGTACTGTGTGTGTGTGTGTGTGTGTGTGTGTGTGTGTGTGTGTGTGTGAAGGCAGGATCTTTGCCTTCCTGTCAGGGTGCGTTATGGGATGTCTGGTCTGTCTGTGTTGTCATGGGTAACGAAACAGATGTTAAGACGCACAGATTCTGTGACATCACGTGACCTTTGACCTCAAAGGAGCACAGTGTTGAGCACAGAGGCGCAGACATACACATGAAGTTAATTACGCTTTTGACTGTGTGTGTGTGTGTGTGCGCGTGTGTGTGTGTGCTTCAGCTCATGTGTGGTGTTAATAACAGATAATAACCGCTCGTATGAGGAAACATGCATTACTGCTGATACACACACACACACACACACACACGAACACATATACCGGACTAACATTAACACACACACACAGAAACAAACATACACACACACGTATACCTAACATAAACATACACAAATAATCTTAATTCTGACTAACAGAAACACACACACACACACACACACACACACACACACACACACACACACACACCAATAACTGTCTGACTTACACACACACACACACACACACACACACACACATGTCCTTTTGGTCAGCTGATCAGAGCAGGGGCTGATGGGAAGGATCCTGGCGGATGCAGACGTGCAGATGTTTGCTTTGTGTGTGTTTCCCACACTCAGACACAAGCTGCAGACGTGTGTGTGTGTATAGTGTGTATAGTGTGCATGTGAATGTGTTTCTAATGTGTATGTGTGTATGTCTGTGTATAGTGTGTGTGTGTGTGTATATGTGTGTAAAATGTGCATGTGAGTGCGTGTTTCTATGTGTGTATGCATGCCTGTGAGAGAGCATATGAACGTGTGTGTGCGCATGTCAGAGTGGTTATGTGGAAGTGACTGTGTGTGTGTGTGTGTGTGTGTGTGTGTGTTCTTGTGTGTACAATTATGCAGTTGGTGTTCTGGAGCCACGGGGGTGTGTGCGTGTGTGCAGTTATGCAGTCAGTGTTATGGAGTTGTGGGAATGTGTGTGAAAGTGTGTGTGTGTGTGTGTGTGTGTGTGTGTGTGTGTGTGTGTGTGTGTGTGTGCGCAGGCATGCAGCCGGTGTTCTGGAGCCGTGAGGATGTGTGTGTGTGGCTGCGCTGGGCG